TTGCCAAAGGATTTTCAAGTAGTCTCTCTGTTTTTAAGTATTTCTGCATGTAAGTTTGTCTATGAGTGCACCTGGAAGGGGCTCACAAATTTACGTGTGCAGATTTTCATCCAGATCAACCCTGAGTGTGCGACTGTGATACGGTCACTCAACCTGGTGTGCATCATACAGTGTGTGCTGAATTTCTACTCTTACACCTGCTTTAGAGAAGCCACAGAGAGATGCTACTGATGTTTTATTTCTGTCAAGCCAGCACGAAATTAGGTGCTAAGTGGTGGGCAAAGATGGTGCCCCATAAGTCTACCTAAACCGAGTGAAGATCTTCAGAAGTTTTGAGCTGGTTTGAAGACACACAGTGAGTTTACACTGGAGACGTAGTTGGTGTTGCATGACCATGGGGTTTGGGGTTGGTCATCTTTAAAAACAATCTGTTCCTACGCTCCCAAAAGCCTAGGATCACCGAACTAGAAATTTCATTCCAGAAATGTCAAACCACATCTTGAGAGATTCTGTGTGAGTCCGAGTTATCTATGTGTTTGTGTGCTTACTCCAATGCACCCATTGATTCTTGCTGGTGGGAACAGTAGCACAGCTTCGAATGCTATTGCTGTCCCAAATGACACACGGTTGTTTCAATTCAGTATAGGTCTACCTACTCACACACATACTTTTCTTTCTTCATTTCTGCTGTCTTTTATCTTTGGCATGCATCGTAACTTTCCTCTGGCACTTTTATTACAGGAAAGTGAAGGAATTCACAGAAAGCTAGTTCAGAAACACAGGCACTTTCGGATTTATAAATGAAGACATTCATTTTGCTGTCCTGCTGAGCTTTTGACATATTTCAACAACCTCACCAGATAAATGGGAGAAGAAGGATAGATGGACACAGGCTACATAAGAAATTTTAAAGAATCCCAAGAATGTCTATGTTAAATAAAACTGAGGAAAAATAACTATGCTGAATCACAAGGTGTTCGGTGAATTCATAGCTCACATTGTCTACACCATGCAGCGTGGTTACATCTCTGCATAAACACTCGTCGGTATTTAAGATCGGTATCATATAATCAGATACTAATTCTACCAGTAAACATGAATTCACAGATATTTTCACATCATTACTCCTCCAAAAACACTGCTGCTACAACCAGATAAAGGCACTTCTTTTATCTCAGTAGGGCTTTATCTCGGTGGGGAGGAGAAGGGGTGAAGTAGAATGCAGGCAAGGTCTATGAAGCTACAGTCTATGAGCAAATTTGTCATGCTTACAGGTTGAATAAGACAAATCTCATCCATAAAAACTCAAAACAGAAGTTGAAGAAGATGTGCATATTTCTGAGCAGCAACTAGAGCATGGGGCAATAGCCTAGAGCACTGCAAGTGACAAGGCACACCACTGTTTAGGTCACTGAATTGAGTTAAAATAACCTATTCCTGAAGAAGTCATTTAGGGTCATTTTATTCTCAGTGGTGGGAAAAACAGTGTTTCTAAGGGGCAATTAAGCTCGTCATAAGAGCAAAAGCTATGAAAAACCAAATGGGTCAGCTAAGAAAAATTAATCCTCAAACCAGTTCTGGGAAAAATTGCAGATTCTCTAGGGAATGGCATTATGGAGGAAATTCATGCTTAAAATCAGGTGTAATTTTGACCACAGGTTTGGCTGAAAAAAAAAAATAAATCTGCTCATAGAAGAAAACATTGAAAATATAAAAGTGTTTCATTTCAAAATGATGCAGATGGATGCATTTTGATTTTTCACTCCAAAGCCGTAATTAATTATTTGAGATTAAAAAAAATAGATTTTAGAGTGATGAATAAGTAAAAAAAATGAGCTGGAACATACCACTAGGAGGCAAAGTATTTTTAATTGACCTCCAGATTAAATTATTCATGTATTTACTTGTTTATTTGCTTGTGGACATCACTGAAAAAATATTACAGTATTCACTTTCCTTTTGGCTTCCGGATCAAAAAAAAAAAAATCCACGCTTCAACCCCTGCTCTAATGCAGGCTTGGGTGGGTTTAAGGAGAGGGTAAGGAAATGCCAGCCAATATCCTTGCTCCATCTGAAACCCCTTCTGCACGACTGGGTGTCGCAATGAAAGTTACTGCTGGAATGTACTATGTAATTCTGGCAAGAAGTCAATAGGGCTCGAACGCCGCAAATAACCGAAGCGTGGTACTAAGAAACCAGTGGAGCAGGCAGCAGCCCAGACAGCCAGTCCATTAGCAGCTTAACCACAGCAGATGTAAAGTCACCAGCAAAACTCCCTACGGAGTCTCCCAAAGAGCCAGATGCTACTGCTATAAAAAGAACTTCTAGAAACTTGGCATGTCTCCCGCCCACATCTTTTTTTTAAAGAAACATTCTTTAGATAGGAGGTTGTGTTTTGGTGTTTTTTTTTTTAATTTAGGGTTAGGGATAAGGGAGAGGAGGAGGGGAAGGGAAGGAGGAGATATTGCTTATTTATTCTGGTTTGCTTGTGAGTGAATGTTGTGCTCGTGAAAACAAAATTCAGCGATAGCACGTCCTGAGACACGGAAGACAACAGGCACAGTTCCAGCCTTCTCCCACACACAGCTTTGCTTATCCACCTCGGGCTGACCTGAGGATCCTTCCTCCAGGAGCCCTGCCAATGCCCTTGGGGTGAAACACCGGCTGTCGTTTTGTTCTGCCCCGCTTCACTGAGCCACTGGTGAGCCCGGCTCGCCCTGTGTGCTGCTCGTTGGCAGTCCTCTTGCCTTGCACGCTTGGCTGGTGCCCATCAACTCAGGGGGTTGTGTTTGGCCTGTTGGTCTCTGCCTCTCATGTTGCTCTACCAAAGGACTTGCCTGCTCACTTGCAGCACTACCAGCCCTTCAGGTTTTCCTGAAATAGGTGTGAGCCTCGTGTTAAGTCCCAACGGCCGGATTCATGTGACGAGTGTGTTTCAACTGCGAGTTTTAGTAACAGCAATGACAAAACCAGTAAGAAAACCAGTAATAATGTGTAATCCTCATGGTACAAATGCCATCTATGCTAGTAAGAACTGAAGCCTGGGACAGATGAAGACATCAACTCTAGAGGTATCTGCACTTAGATGGGTGAATGCCACCCACGTGCCCAGATGAAAGGCTCACCTTTACGAGTCCTAGAGCTCAAGGGGTCTTTAAACTAGAGATACTGTTTTAAGAGTATCACAGAAGACATTCCCAAGTGATTTGTTGCACCAGCAGGAAAGGGGGAAAGAGCTGCATTTTCCAATACTGTACACTTTTTATTCAAACCAGGATTAAGCTGTCATTTAGACAAGGGTCTAAATATATATTTACAAGATGGTGAAGGCAAGATGCCTGTGAAATGGTGTTTGCTCCAAGACAAACTAGGCCCTAGGAAATCACAGGAAGCAACGCTGGGAGTGGAAGTGGATGCCCACAAAAGGAACCCTGAGGAAGAGACGGACCACTGGTGGTGGCTACCTCTGGTGTCTGTCTCTGGCATGTTAGAGCAGGCCTGGTTGCTAATCTCATGGCCTTGTCAATGGCCTGCTCAGCGCATGGCTCTGTTCAGGACTGGTGCTTCAGAGGTGGTTTCTTCAAGGGCAGTGACTCATGGGGACGATTTGTTTTGCCACTTACTTGCACCTTTGTGTACAGTCAGCTCCAGCTGGATATAAGATGTTCCTGTCATTATTAACGTCTTTCTACCCCTCCCTCTGCACTTAGCTTTTTGAATTTCCTTTAACATTTTCTTGTTATTGCCATCAGCACGATGCTGCCTTTAGCTCTCTAACTGCTGATTTTCTATTACGGTTATTCAACGGCACATTTTGTTACAGCTCGTATATTCATGTAATTTGATAGTTTGTGTTCTCTTGTTTATAGTGATTTTTCTCTGTGGGGATGACCTATTCAGTCATCGCTATGCAGTTTGTATCCTGGTATTCCAATGTTCCGCTGACTATCTTTCCTCCACTCACCATATTTCCAAACTGTCTGTTTTAACAGTACCTCTTGCTTAAACGGAGTGTTGCATATTCAGATTTTTTGGTATTTCCTAACAAGCTGTACCAGCCTCTAGCTTCTCCTTTTTCCTCCCCCAAAGGATATATCTTTTTTTTTTTTTCTACTTTTAAAATTATTATTCACCAGAAAACGAGCCAACTTAGTCCACGTGCTTTTTCACGCTTCTTAACTTTTCTTTGCCTCTACTGAGGTTTTTCCCAAGAGCATTTATTTCCCATTTCTCCTTCCCTCACACAGACACAGAAACGATGATGAAACCAGGTGACAAAGACTCCCATGTTTTACTGCAAAAAGCTACAGGACCAAGATATGTGTATTAGAGCAATTTCCAGTTTGCTTGTTCCGTAGGTCAGACTGTCAGAATGGGAAGTAATCCTTGTGGAGAAGAGATGCATTTTAGCAAACACTATATATGCTTCTGTTTTGCTTTGTGGTTTTTTTTTTTTTCTTTTACAACTTATATGTTAATGGTGATATCTTCCAAAGCTGAGAAACCCGTGAAGAGAGTTGTGTTTGCTGAGCGTTCTACTTTCACTGTTTTTCTATAAAGACTAAGAGTATTCCTTGCATACATGAGATTTACACAACTGGTTTCGTTTCTTTTCTCTCTTACTCTCTTACAGCTATATTTTTACAAATGCAATGAACGCAAAGGGAAACGTTCAGTTGTTTCGGAAGGAAGAACAAAGGTGAGGGGAGGCTATGGCTAAACGACAAATACATTTTTGATTGATTTAGTCATGAGAAAAATTACTCCCTTTTTCTCCCCTCTCATTTAACAATTTTGTATTACTGTTTATATTCTGTATCAGAAAAAAAATGACAATGCCCAGGTATTCATAGCTCAGATTCCAGTTTCTTCAGTTTCCTGAGTGTATTGAAGCTCCAGAAAGGCCACCCTTTTCCCATGAAGAAACAAGACAAAACAAACAACAAAAAAAAACATTTATCCAAATAACTTCAGGAACAGCACGTTTTGTAGCTCTGTAATGGGAATTTGGGCTGAAAAATGAGAGGACATTCCATTACATCGAAATCCAAGGCCAGCATCTGTGGTTCTCGGCGCCTATCTTGTCCTAAAAGTAAAGTTATTTTTAAGCATTAGAGGAAGAAGAGGAAAAAAAAACCACAACACCACCAGGAATCAGCCTCAGTCATCCTCATGCATCTGCTCTCAGCTTATTGGCAGCGAGGCCTGCAGCTGAGTGTCTCTGCACTATGTAGACGCCAACTGACATCAAGGATCAATTGCACAACATGATAAAATATCCTTAGTCAGTCCCAACCCCACAATCTTACACTCAGTGTGTAAATGGTGGACAAACCATGGGGAGCAATGATATGAAGAGGCAATATAGTCTCCCATCAGCAACGTTTTAGCACAAGGATTTATCTTAGCTAACGTCTAGATTTCAGGCAGGATTCAGTTCCTGAGCTATAAGCATCCCATGCGATTTGAGAGCCCCAAGTCATTTAGAATATTCCCATAGAGATGGCAACTATGACGTAGTGTTCATAGGAGATTTGTCCTTCTCAGCGTTGGCAGCTGGACTCACTGCATCTATGTCCCTTCTTCAGAGGTGAATCACTCTCCATGCTCTGCCCAACTGGACTTCCTTTAGGTCTGGAAACAGAGATACCCTGCTTTCATGTACACACCTACTCATACCCATCTTGAACTGATGGGAACTGGGGAAGACTATGTCAGCCGGTCAAATACTGGTGGCATGTTCTAGGATTTCACCTACAGTCACATAAATTCAAGCCAGAGGGTTCAATTCTCTTCCCCAGGACCTAAAGCCATTTGAGATGTCCTAGAGTACCCTGCCTGGTTGCCAACTGCCAGAAAGCACTAGTCTGCCATGGGCTCTGCATCTCGTCTGTGGGGCCATGGATATATGAGACACCCGGAGCATCTCAAACACCATGAACCTACCTGTGGGACACTGAATTCAGCCTCTGCGTACACACTATGGACTGTATCTCCAGCTCTACTGCTCTACTGCTTGAGCTTATCTGTTTAAAATAGGGTGGTTTTGTAACACAAGGTTTGTGTTAAAGAAGTAGGCATCTGAACAGCTCTGACAGCATCCAGCTTGCTCCCAAAGATGTTCTTTCCCAGCATTTTGAGCCGTTTGATCAGCTCCCATGAATGGACATGCATCCAAGAGATACGCCGTGAGATAAGGTTGACTCTGCTCATCACACATTCAGTCACATGGCAAGGGGGAGTTGTGTGCATTGTCTTCACAGGGCGTCCGTGTAGTCCACTGCACACATCCCACTGCTCTGCTTCACTCTGCAGTGGTCACTGGACCACAAGTAGGGTATAGTTCTTTTTAGCTATGTGATAAAGCTTGATGTCTCATGTCTTTCCCACTGAATAGTGTCAGGAGTAGATGCGTAGCCGATCTAGAAGTGTTTTCTACAGTGATGTCTACTGTGAAGGAAGACTAGTTGGCTACAATCCTGCAGAATGCTTGACCTGGGGAGGTCTGAAAAACCAGTGGAAGAGTCACTAATTGAAGAGTTAATTGATTACTCTGATATAAATAGTATGTAGCACTTGAGGACAAGCCAGTGGAGAGGCTGTGTGTAAGAAAAGTCAATACAGAGTAGTCACAACAATGACGCTCAGAAAATAAAGAGAAAAGGAAAGACACAGTTCAGTTCTCACACTGGGATACAGCTCTAGCTCTACTCCAGCATATGGGAATGGCCAAGAAACACGAGTCACTACTTTAGTTTTGGACTCAGATCCAGATTCCCACTGAGTTCAAATTCAGTGTTTTGGGATTCGTTTGTTATATGCTCTATGGCAAAGGGCCATCACCCTTTCAAGGGAAGACTGCATTTGTCTTCCCCTAAACATGCCATCAGCAACACAGCAGGGAGTGGGAGATGCCACCACTGAATGACGCCCATCATGGCTCACCAGCAAATCAGTGGCACATTGGTTCTCTGTGAGTCAGGAGCTCTCAGCTCCCTTTCCAAATCCATCGTAAGCAAAGACACTCTTGCTGGTCCCTGTGCTGCAGCTCCCAGCCTTGTGCCAGCTTTACAGCTTACCACTGCTCACTTGTCTTCTTCAGTGGCTGTTTCTTTAGATGACTAGGAAGACTTTTGGTGTGGGCGTGAAATTTCTCATGGCAGTGGGTTTAGGATAAGATTAAGGATTGAAAACATCCCTGAACAACAAGTAAGGATCTTGCTAGCTGTGGGATTCCCACTATGGCTGTGGGCCAGTCCAGATCTTTGGAATTGAAAACTGGGAGCCAGGGTTGGAAAACGGAGTGTATGTTCAGAGAAGATAAATACTTTTAAGAAAGAAAACTGGAGTATAATAAGAAAAGAAATCCAGTCATCTTTTTTTCAGTCAGTGTACACTTTGTTCAACTATGTCTTGAAAAAAAAGTTCCCAAAACCTGGATGTGACTCCTACTTAACTTCCTCCCTGGCATGCCAGTGAACATAATCAAAAGTCACCATGCAACAGACAGGTCTTGGTGGGCTGGGATAATGTTATCTCCAAAAGCAAAACAAAGCCAAGCCTGGTCAGGACAGGGTAGAAAAATAAACCAAAGCGGAAGAGAAAAAAAACACAACAAATTCAACCAAGCAAAACCCCAAACAACCAGAACAATTCTGAAAGAAGCCAGTGCTTTTCCCAGTTTATCAGATACTTTGCAGAATAGATGGAGTTGATTACATCTCAGGTCAGATCTTCCCCAGGAGCTGAACAGAGATAAATAATGGTGAATGCCAGCTGAAAACAGCAGGCACCTTTTCCAGGAATACAAAAATAAACAATGACCATGAAATACTGGAAATAAAGTTCAGCTCATTTGCAATGGCGAGACACAGACACACTTAATGGTACTGTGGTTTGAAGAACACTACTGAATAAAGCCAGAACCAGAAGATGTGCTGGACAAAGCTCACGTCTTTTCCTGGAAAACCAGCCCATTTGCCAGGAGAAATTCAGAGACAGATTTATGGACGGCCAATAAATATCCTCCTAGTGACATAAGCATGTATTACTCCTTCTTATCTGCTTTTCCTTGTACTTTTTGCCCACTCTTTCTCCAGACAGCTCAGCTCTGTCTCCTTGCCTGTTTAGTAGCAGGGACTTGTAAGTGGACATGAAAAATATGCATCCTTTGAAGGTTCCAGTCGATCATAAAGGAATGAACACTTGTTCCTTGGAAATCAAATCCTTTTAGTATATATTATGTGGGACTTCTAAAATAAAGGCATCCAGATCTACTAGACAGTTGCAGAAAGGTCGTCAAGCTTCTGTGCACTTGATAAGATGAACATAACATTTTACTCGTTCTTGTGTTACTTCCTTGTATAGTCACAGTCTTAGTCACTTACACATTCTTCAAGCCTATCTCAGATGCCAAAACCGAAATAAAAGCATATGCAAGGAGGACAGAATAGACTCACCTGGTGTTCAGTTAGCCATAATGTGTTTCACAAAAGCTGGAAACAAGAAAAAAAGAAGAGTCATTTATCAATTCCTTTCACTGAACGTGGTAAAGAACTCGGCACCTTAGCTTCATTGTTATTTAAATTCACTCTTCTTGCTTCTTCTGACGCAAAGAAGACCATACTACTTTGTAAATACGATTCCAGGTGCTAAATGTGGGGGTTTTTTTCCTTCCCAATATTTCCCCCATGCTATGAATTTCTCTGAATTCAGCGTAAGTTGGCTAAATCTACAGATTTCTACCAATACACCACTCGTGAGAAGTGCTTCCTTGAGCTCAGATCACTGGTGTTTGTAAATAGAAGGAGACCACTGACCCAAATATTCATAAAAGGCTCAATGAATATGACAGACTAGCTACATCACCAAGATGAACAGTGGTCAGTCACCAGTTAACGTTAAAGGCTCAGCTGCATACAAAAGCGTGTGTTTATGATCCCTATCAGAATACGGTGGATTCGTTGAACAGCCTGGAGAATGTAGGCTTGCAAGATGCAGGAGAGAACCACGGTCCACATACTTAGGGCTAAATCCTTTTATTCTGGCTTTCTACAATAGCAATGAAATAAAATGGAAAGTCTTTGGAGGATCTTGTAGGATTCTTAGGACACCAAAGGGGATGCTAAGCATAACATTGCTTTGCTGAGTATTTGAAGGAAAATTTAGCGATTTTTTCTAAGGAAGTCTCAGAAGGGATGTGTACCTCTTTTTGAGAGGACAAGGAACTGTCGGAGAAGGCAGAAAAATAATGTAAAAATTGAAAATAATGGCAAACAAAATAAGAATATACTGCCCCACTTCCTGAAAGGGCCATGGTCATTTACCTGCGGAAATTACAAGTGACCTTCAACAGGTAGGATATATGGGATGAATTACAGAATCTGAATTGGTCTAAAATTTGGAAAAGCACACATCCTGCCTCAGATCTTCCACAAATTTAAACTTTCTCAGGAACAATTGCAACAAAGCCTTCAAGCACATGAGGACTGCTCAGACCAGAGTGCTCATACCTACCTTCATAGTTGATACAGCCATTGGCGTCTTCCTGACCAGCCATTAGCTTATCAACTTCCTCTTCAGTCAACCTCTCACCTGGGTGGAAAACAAAAAGTCTGTTCAGTACCCAGGCCCTTTTTTTTTAAGAATTTATGAAGCACAGATCAAAGAACCAAAGAATACAGATAGAGTGGGAGAGAAGAGGGTGATATTTTCTCTTCTGTTTAATTTGTGGTGCTGACTGCTAGGAAAGCTACTTTTGTACTTGCAAACTGAGAAAATTTGATCTGAAAACCAGAAAGAGAGAATAAATATGGAAACCACATGATATCATGTTCACATACTCATTCTTCTAAGAATAAGCTCTCTCTAAGTGCCAAATCTCAAAGGCTTCAGCCACTTTTTAACCAAGTCCTCACTAAGCAAACTCTTAGTAGAATCACCATATGGTTTGCCTCTGAGTTTGAGGTTCAAAAAGATTCCAGTGTCAAACTTCGGACCAGTGGATGCATTCCATTTAATTCAATTATCTAAATATTAGGTGCCTATTTGCCTGTAAGGCTTCATTTTGGTTAAGCAGGTCAACTTGCTTGGTCAACCCGCTTGGTCGACCCAATCCATTGCCTTATTCTGATGGAAGGAAGGAAGGAAGGACGGACGGAAGGAAGGAAGGACGGACGGAAGGAAGGACGGAAGGAAGGAAGGAAGGAAGGAAGGACGGACGGAAGGAAGGAAGGACGGAAGGAAGGAAGGAAGGAAGGAAGGAAGGAAGGAAGGAAGGAAGGAAGGAAGGAAGGAAGGACGGACGGACGGAAGGAAGGAAGGAAGGAAGGAAGGAAGGAAGGAAGGAAGGAAGGAAGGAAGGAAGGAAGGACGGAAGGAAGGAAGGACGGACGGAAGGACGGACGGACGGACGGAAGGAAGGAAGGAAGGAAGGAAGGAAGGAAGGAAGGAAGGAAGACAAATACTTGAGCTGTCAGTCAGTGATTTTTAGCTTCATTGTTAAAGAACTCTTTTTAGTCTTTATAACCAAGGACAACGTGATAGCTGAAATTTTGCCCAGTCATCTTCTCCATAAAGGTTACCCATAATGATACAATCTGTATGGGAAAGACCTCAGCGATGAAACTGCATGAGGAAAGGTTCACCTTACCCAGCGTAGCCAAAACATGGCGGAGTTCAGCCCCCATCACCGTTCCGTTTCCCTCCTTGTCGAACACGCGCAGACCCTCCACGAAGTCCTCGTAGGTGCCTGTGTCTTTCGTCTTGGCAATATGCTGGAGCATGGGCAGGAAGGTCTCAAAGTCGATCATTTTGGAGTTCATGTCTACAAAGACACAGATGGAAATGAAAGTTTTAGTGGATTCTGGGAGAGCTGAGGACTAACCATGGGGCTTCCACTGTGGGTAGGTGATGAAGGCAGAGCTGTGTCAATAAAGGCCAGCTAAAGGGGAGAGAAGAGCATAAAAACATCGTAATTACAGATGGAAGAATGGACAGAGTGAGAAAGAGGTCTGGCAAAGAAAGAAATATGAGTTTTTAACAGATAAATACATAAATATCTCCTAGTACCTGACATACAAACATCAAGGAAAAAAACCTACCGTTAGATTTCCAAGGCTGTTTCATGCAACATAAAAGAATGAAACTAAGCAGAAGACAGTAAAAGAAGCTCATTCCCAATACAAAATCAGCTTTGCTTTGCAGCCCTGTAATGCAGGGGTGTTTAAAACCATACTGGGACAGGAGCTTCAGAGCAAACAGGTAGGACCAGGGCTCTGTATCCCGTTTTCCGGATTCTTTGCCTTTCAAGAGCATTAGAGGACATTTTGTTCCCGTATGACTCCTTGTCCTACCTACCACTCTGGCACTGCCGTATCCTGACATATCGTGGTTGTTGAATGAGCGCCTCATTGTTGGTTCCACCTTAGTGGAGGGAAAGGGGAGAGAAGTAAGCTAGAAAACACCTACATTTAGATATGATCTGAGAGAGGTTTCCTTTGTTCTGAAGACATATTCAGTGTATGGGGAGTGCTGAAGGGAGATATTACTGCGATCATTACAGGCCTTCTAACACACACTTTTGTAGAATAAGCTGTGTCCTCACAATCAGTCTACCCCTTTGTTTCTTTGGATGTCTTCAAAATGTCTGCGTTTTTGCTAAACACATGTGAATGCCTGTCATCAAAGCAATTTTAAAAGGCAAAAACTTGTCGTTGTAAAACACATTGACGCACAGGGCCATGAAATTAATTCATTCTCCTAATTTTGAGACAATCATATTGACTGCAAAATCAGGTTTTTTCCTCATTTACTTTTCTGCTAGTGATTTGCAGAGGCTGTTTCATATCCTTTGTTATTTCACAATTAATCTTTCCATCAGAAAATGGAGACCTCATTTGCTTCACGAATAATTCTTGGAGCAATCTTTTTCAAAACCAACACAGAGGATGACACCAACCTTCTGGTTTGGGTCTACCAAGCACTTTCATGACCTCAGCCTGGGTTGGATTCTGCCCCAAAGCTCTCAAGACATCGCCGCATTGTGCATATGTGATTTTCATCTCAGATTTAGGAGTCCGGTCAAAGAGTGAGAACGCTTCCTTGAATTCTGGAAGACAAAAATATGAAAAGAAAGGCATGACATGTTCCCTCAGATAACGCCAAAGCAAGCCTAGACCTTCGCCCTAACTAACTCTGCCTAACCTTTTTATTTTGCAGTTTGGGAAAAAGTTTGACGAGCTTTGTTGTTGCTGTTATCTGCAATGTTTGTGTTCCTCCTCCCCTGCATTTTCCGGTTCAATCAGGGAATGGAATCGGAGAGGTCAAATGCTCTTCTCATGGTATTTCTGTCTCAGCTAACATCAGGAAACGCGGAAAACCTTATAGAAATGATTGGCCTTAAGAGCTTTCCAGCTCATCTGGAGCACTCAGGATTCAATAGCAGTTCTGCTCATTAGCTAACTGGATATTGTATTCAGCATTATATGCTTAGAGAGCACTGACAGCCCACTGAGGTAAAAGAGCACCTCTATTAGCAGGCAACAAGATATGCCATCATCACCTACTGGAGTAATCACACAACAAACAGTCTAATGGTGGGGGAGGCTGAAGATGTACAGAAAACCTTATAACAGATCAATTGTTATATTTGACAGTGTCACGGAGCAGATCTAGAAGAATCCTCTGATTTTGCTTTTTTTCTAGCACCCAATCCAACTGTATCTGGAGAAGTCAGGTTTGGTATGCCGTCGGCTACCGACGCCAGGCCAGATCGTGGAGATGCAATCGTTCCCTCCAGTGGTTTCACATCTGCCTGCTTTCCCCTGTGCACCCTCGCAGAGCCCTTCCCCTTGCAAGAAAGACATCTCCCCTCCACTACATCCTTGTGAACAGATCCTCATGTCCTCTTTTTCCTTCTGGCCAAAGAGGGAATCTCTTACAACTGCGAGCAGCAATACCTTGACAAGCATTCCTGTTGGAAAGGATCCCTGTTCTACCACTAATTAACCGGAGCCAGTGTAGGATCCCCAGGGACACTTCCCCAGACACTACTTGCTCGGGTTCCCTTCTCCTTACTGGAGTTGCAGACGTGCTGCAGAGACAGAGGAGCATGTCAGGGCACCTGCAACAGTCAGAGGTTGTTACCCTTTACTGAACACCCCGCATAGTGCACGGTCTACGAGTGATCACAAATATCCCTTTGGCTTTAAAGCTGTGAATCCCTGAATCTGCCTCTTGTCCTGCTGTTCCTTTTCTGTATACATTTCACTCCCACTCTCCAAACACAGAAAAGCTATCTTTTTTTTCCCCCTAGATCGTGACTTATTCACCCATTCAGCCATGCACTCTACGTGCCAGATTTTCTCCATCTTTCCCTTCTCAGTTCCTTCTCCTCCTCATTATGCCCCCTCCCTTTATTTTCTTTCTTCTCCTTTGCTTATTTCCCTCTCTCCTTCCTTTCCCCAGTGTTGCTGGGTTTGTCTCTCCTCCTTTCTCCCTCCCTTTTCATTTTTGTCATTCCACTCATACCTTACTCATTTCCTTCCTCATCCAACACTTTCAAACAATGATGCATTTTCTCATTTAGGATTAATTAACCCTCCCCTTGCTTTCTTCTTTGCATCCTCCACTTTGCTCCCTCTTTCTTTCTCTCCCTCCCTTTGCTTCCTGGATCTTTGCCTCCTCTGTCACCGTCCGGAGCCCAGGTCCCATTGGCAGCCCTCACTCCAGCAGAGGGCAATAGTGGATTTTCATGGGCTCTGCTGCCAGTGGAAGGGGGCCAGAGCCCCATTCCCAGCTCTGTCCTTTCCTGGGGGTCCCGGCAGCTGAGGTGGGTGAGAAACACACCTACCTCCCTGAGCTACTCGTGTGCCTGAAGCTTATCGACTCCCTGAGACCAACTGCTAGAGCACCCTTCACATCACATCCTAAAGGTTCAAAATTTGTCGTAGTTGCTGACAGCTCACATTTCTCTTTATTTACCTTTTTCTTTTTTTTTTTTTTAATTTTAAAGCAGATGTAACTGCCTCTCATCAGAGCATTGGCCTGTGGGTTTGGTAACCCCATTTCTGTCATTATACAGGAGCAACCTTATTTTTTTTTTTTAATTTGCATTTTCATTTGCTGGCTTAAAGCAAATTTCCATCAAAGCAATGAAACCAGCATGGCTATGGTCTCCTTTGTCCTCCTGCTAGCCATTAAACCACCAGCAGGAGCAGTGTATATTTTCATATGCCTAATTGCTACCTATCTTCTCATCTTGAATAGCTCATATTCTTCTCCTTTCAGCATTTTAGGGGGCTGAAGAGGCCAGAAACCCAGTTTCATAAATACACATAACCACAACCGATGAATTGCACTCGCAGTTGAGGCAGGAGGACATGTAAAGATGGTCATGTTTCACATGGCTTCACCCACAGACCATTCTTCTCCTTTTGAGAGTAACATTTTGGGAGCTAACATAATAATGAATCCTCGCAAAGAAGCAAGCCTGGTACAGCAAAGTCTTTTCCTTAGCAAGAGGAAAAGATTCAGAGTGTCCTTGAAGATAGGGCTGGAAAAGACCATGAGATGCTGGATTGTCTGTTTCTCCTCCAACAACTCAATTCAGAATCAGCTGCCAGAAAACCAGTCAGGGTCAACGGTTTAATATCTAACACATAGGAGGGACTTCTTATTGATCTTGTTTCAGCTGACAAATGGGGAAGCATCTAGTCCCACTGAGACACCTAGGTACTCATCTGGTCAACAGAAAGAGGGAGAGGTGATTATTATACACGAGAGAGCTATTTAAAAAAAAAAAACAACACATGTAAAGGTATGACAAGTGACTATGACCTCCCAGTGACTCCCTGAAAGAGGAAATTTGACAAAATTAACAGTGCAGCACTGAGCAGAAAATGAACTCAGAACAAAACAAGAGTGACTGAAACCCAGAGGAAAGGGAGAGCTGGCAACCTTGGAAGATTCAGAGAGTGAGGAGAGAATGGGAAGAAGAAAACAAATCAAAAAGTTGTGTTCTAGAGCTCCCATGAGTCCCAGCTCTCAAGGCATGCCAACAGCAAGTGTAACAGCTATAAATCATGACAAGTGTTGCTTGCTTTCTATCCTGTGACTTCAATACATAATAAAGCAGTCCTAAGCACTGGAATACTGATTGTCCACGTTCTTAAACTGGTAGCACACTTCTTGGCAAGGTTTTGACGTGTACAAACTAGCATAGAGGACAGCGCACGCCAAGGACAATCCAGGGACAACTGTGGACTGTGCTGTAGATAGAATTCTACATCTGAAGCATCTAAGCCCTACCTAGGAGTAAATATCTATCTAGCAGCTATCAATATGTCTGCCTACTCACCTAAGAACCTTCTAAGGGTCAGGTGAAGGAGAAAAAAAAACAACCAGAAAAGGCCAGGAGGAAAGGAACTGATGAACTAACTGCTGAGCAGTGATCAGTCCCCAGGTAATGTTCAGGCCACTGGACACTCCTTCCAAAGCCACTCATGGCAGAACCTACAAACCAACTGTGGGATTAACCTTGAGTGGGTTCAGTGTTTCTCCCCAGTCTCTGTTCCACTGTTGTAGCTGACATGGAGAGGTCTCATAGCCTTTCTCACACAGATGATGTTGTCTGCTTCCTGCCCCACGGCTTTCCCCTGGATATTTCAAGGACATCCTATTCACAGGTCCTGGATTCAAAGCTTTGAGTTGTCTATGCAGTGAGCACAGCTAGACCAGAAGGGAGTAGTCTGCTATAAAGAAGATGGAACTTTCTGTTTCTAGGAACGGTCTACACCTGCTCTAGACATGTTGCCTTTTATGGCAGCACTATAGGTGCTCCAAATTTGCCATTTCCTAGCCATTCCAACAGGCTGATGGCCAGGCAAGATCCCATTCTTTCTGAATAGGCCCTTTGATACAGTCACTAGAGCTAGTTCTCCTCAGGGAGAGAGGAAACAAGGCATAGAAACTAGGTGGGCCCTATCCCATCCCCAAAACATAAGCTGATGAGAGATCCAGTTGTTGTGTGCTGCTGTAATAGTTCAAAGGTTCGTGGCTCAGAATTGTTCCTCTTATATAGCTCCCCCATGACTTTGGGACTGGAAAAGGGGCAGGTTTCCAGAAATTAGCAGTTGCCTCCAATCATATGTTACTTTTGATCTGTTGTTAGACAATAGAAACTAAACCATTAAGGGGGCCTTGAAAATCTGAAGGTAATGTTGGAAGTCTGTGGCAAAGCCTCAATCACTGAGGCATTATCGCATTTTGTTCCAGTTTAGGAAATCCTTCTTTCTGTATCTCTCCTCTCTGAATCAGCCTGGCTGAATAGGCTGTGATTTTTTTTTTTTCATCTAATTAACCCATTTTCTGATACCATCTCTCATAGGCTCTACCAAGTTCTGCCAAGTGTTTAAAGACCAAAGCAAAATTCTGCCAGATGTTTGACTCCAACTGTCAATTATCCCTTTAAGTAAAAAGCAAGCTGGTATTTGAAGAAAAAAGGGACAGCTGCAGTGGTAGCATTCCCAGGACTTCATGCATGAGGTTTCAGTATCGTTTTCCTGGGCTGGGACAAGGGTTTCAGAAACTAATGCTGATATTTTTCTTTTGAAGAAGAAAACACCATCACTGTCATTATTTGCTGGTTTCTGGAGAGCTGTCACAAAACTGTAACACGTTAAATTCTGATTGAATACAGGGAAACATTCCCGAAAGCAGAGTTGGGAGACTTGCTCTTGAAAGGATTAGTATTTTGTTACCGGATTTTCTTAAAGAAAGAATATGTGTTTGGACTTAGGATTTGGGGGGGTGGGGTTTTTTTTAATTTTCTTTTTTTGGTTTTGCCTCACTGGCAGTGGAGCTGATGTTTTCTTTAACAAAATCAGTACTTGCACAGGGCATGACTTTCCCCCTTTTCTCTTTATCAACTCAACAGAGGATTTGAAGGAGGGATGGAGCAGGAGCAAACCCACGAATTGAAGCAGAGCCTTCTCAAGGGAGCCCAAATACCACACCCACGTTCACCCCAACACTTGCCAGCACCTTCCAGGGATGATATTTACTATGCACAGAAAAGAAACACGTCTTCCTCACCTTCAATCTGATCAGGGGTGAATTCAACCTGGAAGAGACAAAAAATAAAAACCAGATAAAAACAGAAAACTGGAGCAAATAAGAAGAGCACTGGGTTAGTCTGTCTGTTACGATCCTGGGTACTTGTGAGGTCCATGAAAGAGACTGGCTCATAAATCCAAGAAAATAATTTTATAGAGCCTATAGGTTCTTCATTCCTCCTCTGCCTTCCCTTATCAACCAGTCCCACCTTTAGGACCTCTGCCCCCACCACACGGCTACAGATGCCCTTTGTCCGTTCGTCTGCTGCTCCTTTGTTCCTGCTGCAGTCTTTTCTCCTTACCCCAAGGGACTCCCCTGAGGGAGGAAGATGTCCTCTCCAGAGATGGTTATGGTAGCACAGTGGTAGATCCCAGGCTGCTTCACTTGAAGGGTTTTATCTGTAGACAGATGGCGATCTACTCTCCATAGCCTTTTCCAGCAGAACTAGGGGATATCAAGTGAAGCTGGTGTGAATCAGGCCCAAAGGAAAGTGAAGGAAGGGATTCTTTGCTCTCACAGCTGAATTGTGGAAAGCCAGCCATGGGATACTGTGGCTGCTCACAGTCTACATGTGTGTAAAGGGTCACAGGACCCCTTCATGGGAGAGAAATGGGTTTCTGCACATTACCAAAGGTACAGAAATACTTAGCATAGGAAGTCTCTCCTTGAGGTTAAGGAGAGTGTTTCAGGGGAGTTTTGCCCATTTCTTGTGCCTTTTCCTAAAGCATCCTCTAATAACCATGGCTGCACTGTATTGGACAACTCTGGACCTTGCTCTAAGTGTCAACTGTCTCTTGTTTTCTCATCACTTTATATTTCCTCCTACGTTTTAGGGTTGTCCCAATCCCTACTTCTACATGGTGCTGCCCTCTGGGTTCCAAAAATGCTCCAAGATGCCCACAGGCTGCTGCTGAGCTCGAAGGCAAAAGAAGGAAACACAATGTGCGAATGGGAAGGCCAAGCTTCTGAATGAGCAGGCTCAGGTCAGCGATGTGAATTGTCACCAGAATTTACACCCGCCTCTCAGGGGAAACCAACAGGTTGGGTGTCTCTGCTGATAGGGGC